ATAAGCATTCGTTTTGCTAAAAAGAAATTGCCGTTACTTATGGCTAATTTATGCAACTTGTTTCTATGGGGATGGCCGCACAGTCCCCGATCCCGACGATATATTCTTGTTCCCAGACTTTATAGTCCCTGTTTCTGTGGCAATTAGGTTTCCGTATTCTTATATCATTCCTCCTCTAATGTTTGAATCGAAGAATGCAAATCGGAATACTGGAGGTCTTGCTTTTTTGAAGATTCCACCAGTGAATGGTTGGAAAATATTTAGTCCGATAGCAAGCTTTGTTTCCCATTAGGAACTTTGCTACCAAGCCAAAGATGATCTAACCACCCCCAGTGGATTGTAGTGAAGGGGCACTCATGAACGGTTGAATAGTGTTTGATGTGATAACAAGCTTTATTTCCCATTAGGAACTTTGTTATCGAGCCAAAGACTATCTAACCATCCGTAGTGGTCTGTTGTTCCCATGTCTTGTCATTTAAAGGTCTTATTTCTGTTGACGGTGTATCCTTCGTAGTATGTTTTTCGTTGTTGCCTCATTAAAAACCTTGCCAGAAAAATCCAATTGGAAAAAAAATTGAACGAAAGGAAAAAGAGTGCAGCACATACTTTTAGTATAAGCGATGCTCGTCAGCAATGGTACCTTTTAAGGTGTGCCTCATTCCAGTTGCTCAGCAATTTTACTCCGTCTTAGTTTTCCAATTCATATGATCCTTTCCCGGTGACAGCTGAAACTCGGTAGGGACCTTCACACGTTAGACCCAGCTTCCATATGTTGTGCTCTCAGGTGTTTTGAGCCACTTTTCCTAAAACCAAGTCTCCAACTTTATAATAAAGAAGATTGGCTCTTCGATTATTGTATCTTTCCATTTTTTGTTTCTGGGCCATTATCCTTATGTGCATCAAGTCCCTGCGTTCGTTAAGCAACTCCAATTTGACCAGCAATGCTTCATTGTTTGCTTCTTCGTCCGTCTGGAAGTTTCTCATGGTAGGTTCTCCCACTTCCACTAGGATCAGGGATTCTGCTCCGTATACGAAAGAGAAATGTGTCTCTCCCGTGCTTGATTTGGTTGTTGTCTGGTACACCCATAGCACTCCCAGTAGCTCTTCGGGCCATTTGCCTTTGGGTGCTTCCAACCTTTTTTTGAGGTTTTGAATGATCACCCTATTTGTCAACTCTGCTTGACTATTCGCACGTGGATGGTATGATGAATATGTGATTCTTTTGTTCTTCAAATCCTCAAGAAATTTTGAACTTTTGCACTTATGAATTGTGGCCCGTTGTCGCAAGCTATCGTTTTTTGTATTCCGAATCTGCAAATTATTTTCTCCCGCAAGAAATTGACCATTTTGCGCTTGTTGATTTTCTGGTAAGGACCTGCTTCAGCCCACTTAGAGAATTAATCAGTTAAAATCAAAAGAAATCTTACCTTTTCGGGAGCTGGCAGTTGTAGACCGACCATGTTCATCCCCCATTTCATGAATGGCCAAGGCGATAATACTGAATGCAATAGTTCTGCTGGTTGGTGTACTAATGGCACATGGCATTGGCACTTGTCGCATTTATGAACAAACGCCTTAGCGTCTTGTTCCATCCGGGGCAAGTAATATCCTTCCCTACCTAATTTTAAGGCCAATGAATCTGCACCCGAATGATTTCCACAGATCCCTTCGTGAACCCTCTCATTACTTAGTTAGCCTCGGAGGCTCCTAAACATCGGGCAAATGGGACTTGGAATGACTTTCTATACAATTGGCCTCCCCAAATACCAAATTGGTCGCATTTACTTCATAATAACTGCCTACATCCAATACCGAATGCATGAGCTGTACGACCGTACCAGAATTTGATCCCTTCATTTCCTTGGATGAGCCTAAATTAACCAATGTGTCTGCTTCTGCGTTTTCTTCCCTCGGGATGTAGGTGATTGACCATTCCTTGAATCGTGCAAGCAGAGTCTAAACTTTCACCACATATTGTTGCATACGTTCCTCTTTAGTGTAAAAAATCCCTTATACTTGATTTATCACCAGCTGGGAATCGCATTTGATTTCAATGACCTCGGAATCTAGTCCCTGAGCTAGTTGAAGTCCTGCAATCAAAGCCTCATACTCGTCTTCATTGTTAGTTAAAAAGGCAGTCTTTATGGCATGCCTCAGGGTTTCTCCCGAGTGTGTGTTAATACTACCCCGAGCCTGGACCCTTTCACATTGGAAGCCATGTCCGTGAACAAGGTCCAGACTCCTGATGTCATTTTCAACACCAACACCGCTTCTTTGGTGGCCAAAGGCAACAGTCCGGGCCTGAAATTGGCCATGAAGTCGGCCAAAACTTGTGATTTGATCGTAGTCCTAAGTTTATACTCGATGTCAAATTCACTCATTTTGACTGCCTACTTGGCTAGTCGACCTGATAATTTAGGTTTGCGATGGATGTTTCACAGGAAAAAAGTTGTCACCGCGGCTATCGAGTGACATTGAAAATAAGGCCTAAGCTTTCGAATGACGACTACGAGAGCTAAGGCCAATTTTTCGAGGTGTGGGTAGCGAGTTTCTGCTCTCGTGAAATTTTTTCTAATGTAACAAATAGGAGATTGTTGATACCCAATTTTGTCCTACTTTTCTTCTAATTAATTTTCTGGTATTCACTAGTCATTAATAATCTAGGCTCAGTTTCTTAATTATTTATTATTACTACTACTACTACTACTATTATGATTATAATTATTGGAGTAATTACTACTATTACTATTACTATTAATACTTTCATTATGACTATTGTTGAGCTAATCAATTATTTTTAATGTAATATTAGATATGCTCAATATTATTATTATTATTGGATCCAAATTATTAAAAACATTGGAGCCCAATTAAATTAATTTAAAGAAAGAAAGAGACCATGAAAATCTAACCCAGAAGTCACTCTAACCGGCCCATAATAATCCACCATATCTCTTCCAATTGATTTAAGGGCGAACGACACAAATAGCCACTAAAAGCGGTGGCTTTTATTTTAAAGCCATTGTTTTCAATGTATTTAGACTTTAGTCACTCCTTTAAAAAACTTATACCTGACTGGACAAAAATACCCTTCTGGTATAACTTATACCTACGCTATCAACACAAGCAGCAGTTACACAAAGAGAAGAAACGAGCAGCAGCAGTTACCACAACGACGATCAACTGAGGATTGATAAAGTTATAGACATCGCCTCCTATGATAATTCTGTATTCCGGACATAGTGTCTTCATTTTAGAAATTAAATTAAAAAAAAAAAAGAACACTATGTCCTTAACTTTGATTCTACTGGCCTCATTTTGCAAATTGAATAAAAAAACTTAAGGACAAAATGTTCTTCACTTTGTTGTTGTTCTTCTGTACACAAAGTCCTGTAGCTTGAGTTTCAAATTGTATGTTTTAATTTCTGGTTCAAATGTTAAGGACTGACAGTCCTTAACTTTTAAATACATGTTTAAATGTTAAGGACTAGCAGTCCTTAACTATTAATTTCATGTTTAAATGTTAAAGGACAGACAGTCCTTAACTTTTAATTTCTTGTTCAAATTTTAATTCCATGTTTAAATATTAAGGACTGACAGTCCTTAACTTTAATTACATGTTTAAATGTTAAAGGACAGGCAATCCTTATCTTTTAATTTCTGGTTCAGAAGTTAAGGATTGACATTCCTTAACTTTTAATTCCATATTTAAATGTTAAGGACTGACAGTTCTTAACTTTAATTATATGTTTAAATGTTAAAGGACAGACAGTCCTTAGCTTTTAATTTCTGGTTCAAAAGTTAAGGACATGCAGTCCTTAAGTTTTAATTTTTGGTTCAAAAGTTAAGGACAGACAGTCCTTAAGTTTTAATTTCTTGTTCAAAAGTTAGGACTGAAAGTCCTTAACTTTTAATTCCATATTTAAATATTAAGGACAGACAGTCCTTATCTTGGTCTTGCACTTACAGTACACCAGTTCTTTTAATTTCTGGTTCAAAAGTTAAGGACATGCAGTCCTTAAGTTTTAATTTTTGGTTCAAAAGTTAAGGACAGACAGTCCTTAAGTTTTAATTTCTTGTTCAAAAGTTAAGGACTGAAAGTCCTTAACTTTTAATTCCATGTTTAAATGTTAAGGACAGACAGTCCTTATCTTGGTCTTGCACTTACAGTACACCTGTTCTTAATTCTACAAGGATTGTTTTATAACGTATGCCTTTGTTTCCCATTCTCTTGACTTGTAGGATGGAAACAATATGCATAATAGTTGCTTTTAATGGTAGATGGACTGAAGACTATAAATATCTTGAAACAGAACATAAATCATGAACTAGCAAATGAAAAAGTACCCAATGCCTCGAGTGCCACCAGTTACAAGAGCATTCATGCCATAAAGGGACCATCTATTCACTTTTCCACTACACTTAGTGGCAGTGGCAGTAGTTGTGAGTCGAACTGAACTGCAATTCATCCATGGGTTTATTATAAAGTTTCTGGGTTTTGGAAGTTGAAGTTTGTGCTTGAGAGAAGCAGCAACAGTGTGTGAAATGAAGAGAGGTTCCGACATTTTCTTTTGGAGAGAGAGAGAGACAAGGGATTGAGGGATTGATGTGCACAGATAAGGGATTGAGGGATTGATGCTGTTGACCAAACATGGAGGAGGCCGACCATGGAATCACCTTGGGTATTCCAGATGAAAATGCAACGCGAAAGAGAGGAAGAAAGGGTAAAATTGTCTTTTTTCTATTAGTGGTGGCTATTTTTGCTGAGCATTATAATTAGTGGATAAAAATTAAAGACATCCTTAATTAGTGGCTACTACACACCATTTTTACTTGATTTAACCCATTAGGGATTATTCAAAGCACACTCTTCAATCTCAGACCAAGCAAATTAGCCATCACCTAATTGTTGTAGGCCCAAATCTTCCCAAGCCCAAGCATCAATCCAAGATAGAACTAGATTTTCATCAGCAACGTCTCTTTTGCCTCCCCTTTCTACTTTGGCATAATATCACCATCATTGTTCCTACATGGCAGATTTTTGCCTCCCATTTTCACCAAAGTCTTTTCCTTCTCTCTCTCCATTTACGTTTTTCCAGCTCTTTTCTGCGCAAGATTAAGTCAACACCAGAAGCCAAACGACTTTTAGATTTTGATTCTCTATGGTAGAGATTTAATTTTTAAACGGCTCTTTTGAAGACCAAAATCCCAATCTGTGACCTCTCTGATTTTGGATTCAAATTTCAAATCAAAAACTCAAGTTCCATCTATAAATCTTCCCCAAAGTTTTCAGCCGAAACCAAGCTGGAACACAGGGAAATCCAGGCTTGAATTATCAAAAATCTCTCAACTCAACTGAATCTTCCATCTTAATCTTTGTTTTAGCATTTAACAATCTGATACTCAAAAGTCCTTCAATTTTGTCGCTCAACTCTCCAGCCAAAGGATCAGGTCGGAATCCCTAAAAAATTCAGTTTATATCACACTCTGTTTATTCTTTTAATCTCAAGCTTTACAATATGTGGAAAACTCCTCAATATTTAGTCTTCATTATTATATTCTCCACGACTAAGGAGTGTAGATCTAACCTTTAAAGCTCCTAGTTCACTGCCCCACAACAGGTAATGTCCGACTTTGTTTCTCATTCTCTTTAGTTTAAATGTACTATTTTTACCTTGAAGAATCATGTCTTAGACTCTTTTCTGTTGTTGTGATAAAATATGTTAGTAGAATTTTGACATGATTAATTTGTCATTTCGTTTGATTTAACTATTTGGAAGAGTAAATCACGTTTTAGCTTAAGCCTTTTCTTGCCCTTTTATAATAAATATGTCGTGTATATCTTCTGTGTTCCTTTAGTGTATTATGCATTTTTTGTTCAGATTTTAACTGCTAGAAATATTATTTTAGGAGTAGTATGGATTTCACATAAGAGAGGCTCATGTTTGGTACAATACTCTGTGTCAGCATGTATCTGTGCTAGTTCTGTACTCCCCTCTTAATTTTAAGTTTAGGTACTACACTGTTAGAATTGATAGTATAATTTCTTGTACCATATGTGCCTTTATGCTATTTCTAAGATCCTCTGTAATTGCACTTTTTTTTATCTAAAGTAACTTTCAAAGAGTTTATAACATTTTCTTGTCTGCAACTGAGTTAGTTTAAATCATATTTAGGATGTTATTTAAGTCAGGAAATTAATAATATTTTTCAACGTTGCTAAATTTTACCAATTTGAAAGGTTCTTAAGCAAATGATATGCATAAGAACTGCCCTTTTTTAGCATAAGTTCATGATTTATGCACTCTTTCTATAACTTTAGCTTTCTTCTTTATTTTCCTTAAGTGTTTAGTGTTTAGATGTTCTTTCTAATCCTCTTCTACCTTCCTTTCTTTTGTTTCACGTGAACACCAGAGCCGAAGAGTTCTACTTTGAGACTCAACGACGCCGATGCCGCATATCCTCAATCACGTTCAGCTTCTACACTTCTTGAAAGCAAGTCATAAAAATATTCACTCCTCTGTTTGAGAGCCGAACATGGCCGTCTAGCAGATCCTCTGCTGTCTTATTTTTGCTTATGGTTGATGACTAACATTTTACTGTGTGGTTATCTTTTAATATCAGTTGTGTCATCTATTTAAGTTGTGCGATTAACTTTAAAACCAAGTGATAGTATGTGATTACTCACTACGCTCGCATTTGATCACGTAAGATCTTCACCTCTAGTTAACAATGAATTACTAACTCTTAAAGATCAGTCTTTGGTTTAGTTAAAATGTCGACAATAGATGCTCTGCGTGGTTTGGTTTCCAAGGTCTTTTGTTTGGGATCAATAATGAATATTGTTTTGATATAAGTCTTTGAATTTTTGACGAAATGTTTCCCTTTTGTTTGACGTAAGTCGAAGATGGCCGACCATTCTCTACTTCAAAAGACAATTTTATAAATTAATTGTACTTTATCAAACTTTAAACTTTCTTCAAGTCTAACGTTGGTTTTTCATTTTGGACTTTAGTCCATTGTTTTTTAGGAAATTGTCTCTTTTCAAATTTTGGTTCTTTAGACTCTAAAGGAAAAGCAAATTTCATGTAACTATACTGTAATGACGGATCCTTTTAAAGTTATGTTTATGTTACTTCGGCCTAAAACTATTTTACACTTGGCCTTGATTATAAGTCCGGTCGGTTAACCATTTAATATGGATCTTAAAGGGATGTTTTAGATTAGTTGAACCCTTACCTAGAATCTTTAGGTTAAACAGGCCATTAACAGAGTTATACTTTAATAATTTAGATGTCCTAATTCACCATAGAAAATAATTAGGTAGCGACTCTTTAACTCTAATCAAATTCAGAATTGCCTATATGTTGTACCTTAATTTGACTCGGTTTAAAATGGGGTATAACAGAGATTTAGTACCTTCGTCTTCTCTGACTAGAACGACATTTACAGCTACCTCCGAGACCGCTAAGTAAAGCAAGTGTTTGCCTTCCTCCGGTTTCGATAGTAACGGAGGACTTGATAAATACCTTTTCAAATCTTTTAGGGCATGCTGGCATTGTTGTACTTCTTCTTTAGATGTGAGAAAAAGTGATGGCATTCTTCCGAAGACTGGGAAATGAACCTGCTTAGAGCGGTCAGTCTTCGAGTTAAACTTTGGACCTATTTCACATTTGACAGCTGGTAGGGAATATCCTCAATGGCTTTAATTTAATCGGGATTGACTTCGATCCCTCTTTGTGAGACTAGAAAACCCAAAAATTTATCGGAGCTAACTTCGAATGCACACTTTTCGACGTTAAACTTCATGTTGTACTTCCTTAGGATTCAAAAGTTTCTTGGAGGTGTTTCAGGTGGTCACCTGCTTTCAAAGACTTAACCAACATATCATCTATGTAAACTTCTACTATTTTCCCTATTTGCTTTTCGAACATTTTGTTCACGAGTCTCTAATAAGTGGCTCTTAAGGCCAGAGGCATCACATTATAGCAATATGTGCCAAAATTTGTTATGAACAAAGTCTTTTCTTTATCCTCCAGGTTTATTTTGATTTGGTTGTACCCAGAATAGCCATCGCGGAAACTCATCAACTCGTGCCCAACCGTCACATTAATCATTTGATCAATGTTTGGCAATGAGAACGAGTCTTTTAGGCACGTCTTATTCAGATCTTTATAATCTACGCACATGCTAAATTTATTATTCTTTTTTGAAACTACTACTATGTTAGCTAGCCAGTCAGGGTATTTTACCTCCCAAATTTAATCGATATAAAGCAATCGAGTTTCCCCTTCTTTGACAAATCATTTTCGACCTCGGCAATCATGTGTTTATTTTGCCTTACCGGAGGGATGTTGGGGTCCAGGATTAACTTTTGCATGGCCATCTCTAGCAGAATACCTGTCATATTAGCATGCGACCACAAAAAAACATCAACATTAGTTTTATGAAATTCTATAAATGCTAACTTGAGCTCGAGGTTTAATCCTATACCCATGTGGAACTTCCTTTCTATGAATTTCTCGAACATTGTGACTTGTTCGAGTTCTTACGCCATGGATTTGGTTGTCCTTTCCTTCCAGTACTTGAAAATACCTTATACCTGATAGGATTCCGACGGCTTCTCCCCTTTGTCGACCTCGTTTAGTTCGGGAGAGGGCGTCAGCTCCTATAATTACTATGTCGCATGCTCCTTCCTCTTACTGCTGAAAACCGAGATCGCATTCATATCCCGTGCCACCGGTTGATCTCCTCTTATTTGCTTAATTCCCTCTAGAGTTGGGAATTTCATGAGTGGATGATATGTTGATGGCACAACCTTCATCTCGTGTTGCCAAGAATAATGTTGTAGCCCATGTCGCCGTCTACTACTTCAAACAAAGTAGTCTTCATGACCCCTTCGGCATTTATGGGCAGCAGGATCTCCCCTCGGGTTGTCACACTTGCTAAGTTGAACCTGTCGAGAAGCTTTGTGGCTGGAATGATGCTTCTGGTTAGCTTATTGAATGATATTGGCTGAACTTCTTGTGTCCACCAAAACACGTTTAGTTTTAAAATCTCAAACATTAAGAGAATTACTTGGGCATAATTGTGCAGTAGTAGGAGTCCACCAACGTCCTCCTCCGTGAAGGTGATATCGTCCTCGGTAACTTCCCAAAGTCTTTTGCTATGAGCCATCGATACCTTTGTCTTTTTTTGCTGTTGAAAAAGTTACATCATTAATCTCGTTCCCCCCTCCGAAAATCATGTTAAACGTTAGACGAGGAGGATCTTCTCCTATCTTCGAGGGTTCTGTGTTATCCCGATTGCGGCCATAGTTATTTTAGCTCAGTCTTGTAAGAACTCTCTCATATTGACATTTTTCAGCAACGTCACCACCTCCTCGCGTAGATGTCGGCAATTCCTAGTCCGGTGGCCATTAGTCCTATGATACTCACACCATAGATTAGGATCCCTCTGACTAGGATCAAATCTCATCGGCCTCCAGAACCGTGCTTCCTTAATGTTCCCCATCGCTGATACCAGCTCCACTATGTTGACATTGAAATTATACTCGGATAGTATAAGGTAGGTGGAATACTAGGAGCCTGATGTCTCTTTGTCCTGCAATGATCTGTTATTCCAGCCACAATCAACTCTCTTATCGGTAGCGAGCCTGTCCGCTGACCGAAAACCTCTGTCGTGTCCTTCGGCCCTTTCGTAGGGTAAAAATTGGCCTTAGAAGATCGTCGATCTGTGTCAAAATCATCCTTGGACTTCTCCTTATTCTTTCTCGATCCCGACCCTTGGTTGATGACGAGCATAAAATACAATACAAAATTGATGCTCGCTAGCCAAAGATAGTATAGTTCAATTATCGTCTCCACAGAGATTGGATTTAAACAATGCTCTAGTAATTTCTGGTTTAACTGCTATTCAAGATGATCAAAACTTTATTGGAATGATTATGAACTGTGATTAACTACTAGAGGAAAACAATTGATAATTGATTGCAAAGAACTAGAGATTAGCAGAGTTGGTTTCTTATCAGTGTGAGAAATAAGAGTTTTGACATGATAGGTGCAAGATTGTTATGGATATGATACTGTTGTATTTTACTCTTGAGGTTATATTGATTCTTACTAATTCAATAGGCGATTAGCTTATACTTATGTTATATTAAACTCTTGAGGTTATATTGATTCACACTAATTCAATAGGTGACTAGCTTATATTTCCGATGCAGACTCCTCTCTCGAAAAAATCTAAATATTTCAAACAAAATAATGTGAGGTGCGGTGAAACTTGCAAGAATCTATCAGTAGAACTGATCTAATAGAAACTTCTCTCGAATATTTCACAATCTTAATTCAAACGGTAACTCGAAAAGCTCTCTCGATTACGTCAAAGAATCACCAAAATTAACTAAGGCATACAATGCAATAATATTCAATAAGATGTTTTTCTTTCGATTAAACACTATAAAGAATAAAATCACAACTCTATTAAAGCTCCTCCAATAAATTCAAGCAATTAAACAGTAATCGAATCAATAAATAACAATCAAGTCACTAAATCATGTCAAACCCTAAGGTAAATTACTCCAAGTATATGGAGAAAGTCATCACAAAAAGACTTAAAGAATAAGAAAGCATCAATCTAACGTTACAATCCAAACTCCCGTAGGCTCGCAGCTACCACGACCATAAGTACTTTGCTCATTCGTAAGCCCCTTTAGAGATAGGGCTGAGCCAGGAGCTTACTTCGAGTATTTATGACTCTGGTGGCAATACGTGATAGGCAAATGACATGATTCTCGAGGAGTTACACGACGACCGTGTGATGACGCATCAAATAGATGTAAGGGTGGATGACTCAGTATGTCCTTGTATGGACTGATTATGTTCCCCACAGGGAGAGCTTTAGAGGAAATAGGAGCGGACATCTATATGGGCTTCATGTGATTCGAAGCCAACCAATTTGTATTGCAAGAAAGTCCATGTACCTATGTATACCTAATGAAAGCCAACAAGAGTCTCTTAACACTTACCTGCCTAAACCAAGTAAGATTCAAGAATCAATCCATTACCAGTAAGATACAATACGACTTAGCCAAAAAAGGTGAGCGCCTCGCGCAAAACTTATTGAAAACAGCCTAGCTAATGAGCAATCTTTCTAAAGCAAGAAGAAAGGGTGCATCAGCTGCACGAAGTTTGAATTGATGGAAAGATGATGAAATCCTATGTCTTGTAGCCTCCAATGCTCTCCCAAAGCTTCCAAGGTCAAAAGTCCTCTCAAAAATATCTTTTTGGTGTATTTATACCATGTAGGAACATGCCCAAATGAAATTACCCTTTCCAAGCTGAAACAGAAAAAATGCTCTAAGAATTTTGCACAGGTGTTGCGCAGATAACTAGGAATTATGGTTTATTTTACACTCCTTCTTACTTGAGTTTTGATTAAAAATGCATATAAAATAGTCCCAAAGGCTTACATGTTGTACTTGTTTGAAGGGTTTGGTCAAAAAGGTGGCAATTAGTCAAAACCAACTCAAAAAGGAGTGAAATATGCACAAGTACCAAGAACAAGTCCAAGCACAGTGCAACAGTTCCACTGCGGCCGCATTCTATTTAGTGCGGTCAGTAGTGAAGAGATTCAGAGAGTGCACATTTTGGAAACTCAAGCACTGCGGCCGCAAAGCATTTTGTGCAGACCATAGTGGCCTCTTTGCGGCCGCAATCAAGTTTATGCGGTCCGCAAAGACGGGGTTCAGAGAGT